AATAAAATATATATTGATTCTTGGTTAAATGTTACACTTAATACATAACATGATTCTTACAACCACTGCAAAAATAGGGGTCACAAGCTTGAGTGCACTTTATTGGAGCATTATATAGATGAAGTGCAAACTTTCTTGGCAATTTATTAGTCTCCTCAAAATGTGATAATAGCTCAACTTGCAAGGATAAAGGTTTTTAGGGGTACTTTTCTGCATATCTCATTTAATGTTTCATTTCTTGACTCCGTTATACTCGTTTTTTTTTTTTTTCTGTATATCCCTCTATTATGTTTTCTTAATTGTATAGGTAAAATAGGAATAACGAATACAAAATATACGACAAGGATTGTTTAGGATTCAAATGTACAGGGGATTATGGACTTTAAAAAAATGTGGTATATATTTTTCTCCTTATGAAGCATTTTTTTTAGTATACCTTTTGATTGTATTCTATATATTTACGTTATAGGCTTTCGTCTGAGGCGATAGAAAGCAGTCTGAGGTTGACTTAGTTGTCCAGTCAATCCTCATATTCTTTTGAAAATAATTTTTTGAAAGAGACGGAAAGGAAGTCTATCAGTGATATCAAGAATTATTGTGGTACATTTTCACAACTAATGCTTTCCAAAACTCTTTCGCAAAAGAGAAGAAACATAAGTTGTTTTAATAATATCTTATGTAATTCCTACGCTACCTATTGTGATGCATCCTTTCCATTGACTGGTACGACCCAATTATTATCCTTGAAAGTTGTTTCGTATTAATATGTTCATATCTAATTCACTTTATCAATATTCTGTGTAAAATATGTTTTCGTTTTCTGCCTCCCCGTTGTCAAGTAAGTTTTCCTCGTCATTTATCTCATTTCCCACAATGAGATAATTATTCATTTGTACGCGATTGAGTCCGGTTTATTATTATTTTTTATTTTTGATTTTTAAACATACAACCTTTCTGAAATAAGCAATATATAGAATGAGTTGAGCTGCAATAGACAACTGTTACATGATATTACTAACGGTCGTAACTCTATTCTTCTAGTTCAAATTTTTTTTTGTCATTAACTTTTACAAAACAAACAAACCAATTTTTTTCTCCGTGCATCGCATGGGTAATACACTAGTGATTCAAGTGACAAAACAACGCATGCAGTGCAAGCATTTTAATAATTTTTTATGATAATTATTATATTTTTGACTTTATTTATAATATCAATTAGATAAACACTTTAAAATATTATTATAATGTAATTGTTGGTTTAATAAATGATATATATATATATATATATATATATATATATATTACTTATTTATAAAAGAAGTTATCTTTTCATCTTATTCTTATGAGTTTCAATAAAAACAACTTAAAAATATTAATTTAATTTAAATTTTCTATTTTTGTTGGTAATATATTTTGATTATATTTATATTAATAATGTCAGCATAACGTACGTTAACTTTTTTATAAATATATATCGGATAACAAGTTAATTAAAAATTTTACATAATATATGATGAGATAAATTCATTTTTATGTTTTTAATAAATGTTGAATTATTTCATTGTATAGAATCATAAGTTTTTTAACGAAACAACTAAAAAATAGTGAAGTTTGATGCTAAAAATAAAGATGTTTAAGTTTACTTGGACATCAAAATTTAAAAGCGATTATTTGTCGAATTTTGCTTATGACATAAATAAGTCAAATTGATTGTGAAATAATAATTACCAAATTAATTGTAAAATTATGTTGGGAAAAAAGTACTTCAGAATCAATGAATTATTAACTATGAACATTCTATTAAATAATTGATTAAAAGCATATTTTCATCTCTCTAATTTTGAATTATGAAATTTATCTTTTCATTTTTTATGCATCCAAAAAATTCGTAATTTATTAAATTAATACAATGTTTTCTTAAAAGCTACTTCCTTTAACACTCTCTTGAATTATTTCTACATAACTACTTCTACATTATACCAATGAAGTTTTGCCATTTGAGGTAATGACGCTAGCAGAGGTAGCTTTCGAAAGGACGTGCGAAGTTAGTTTTCAAGAAAAACTTATAATTTAATAACGCAGATAATCAATTTGGAATAAATATTAATTAAAGGATGAATTTGCAAACTAGAAAATAAAATCATAAGGCAAAGCTATATTATTTTATCTAATAAATTTGTTTAAATCTTTAAGAGAAAAAGTATAAAAAATAATTGAGACCTTGTCAAATAAATTATGGAAAAATATTTTCTCATGTTGCATGAAAATTCAATTCTTATGTTGTGACTCTTCGATTTACGAGTAAATCTTTTTTTTTTAAATGTGAAATCCACCACTAGTTGAGTCACAGCAAAAAAGAAGAAGAAGAAGAAACTTCGAGCGCAACTAGGCTTGGCAAAAATGAGCCAACCCATCGGGTTGGCTCGTAACCCGGCTAAAATGGGCCGAGTTGGGTTAGAGAAAATGAGTTAGTAACTCGAGTCAGCCCGACTCGTTTCAGTTCGAAAAAAATCGAGCCAACTCACGGGTCAAATAGGTTGGCTCGCGGGTTATGGTTTTTTTGTTAATATAAAAGTATAAAAATTAATTAAGGTAAAGTGGAAAGCTAAAACCTAAAATCCAAATTTCAAAGACCCAAACAAAAATACTCTGCAGCTGCCAATAAGTCCAAAATCGTGCATTAAGGACATTTTCTATAGTATGTGTGACAGTGTGAATGTGGTGCCAACTGCCAATAAGTCCAAGTCCAAATGCAAAATTTTCTATGGTTTATCTGTATAATGTCTTTGTATTGAATGAATTAATAATTTAGGAAAAAAATTTAGAAGTTATAGCATCAATGAAATTTTATTTTATTTTCTATTTTTTCGAGCTAACCCGCGAGCCAACCCTAACCCAACTCGGGTCGGGTTGGGTTGAGTTTTCTGTCTCGTTTATTTTTCGAGCAAACCCTAACCCGACTCATTTTTTTCGAGTTGAACGCGAGTTGAGTCGGGTTGGCCTGTTTTGCCAACCCTAAGCACAACACGCGTATACAATCATGAAAGGTTCACCATGAGAATGCAAAAGTGAAGCTCCCAAAGTGAGGCCACTCAAAAACAAAAGTGAGATAACAAAGCTCTCTATCTTCCCCCCTCTCTCTCTCCAAATAATATGTATTATTATTTGTTAGAAAATAAAATAATAATTTCTTATTTTTGAACTATTATACTTTAATTTAATATATTAGGATGAATTCAAAAACTATGGTTAGAATTTTTATTTTTTTTGGTAAACAAATCTTTTTTATATTTATATTAAAACCTTAAATCCTAAAAAAATTAATAAAATATATTTATAGTTTTTAATATTTTTCTTTAAATTATTAAAAGAGTTGGACAATAAAAACATGATACCATACGATATGTTGAATCGAAAATAATTTAAAAATCAATAATTAAATAAATGCTAAAGTATAACTTTTAAATATATTATATACCACCATATATTGCATGCTCATCTCCAAGTTTTCACTATATAAATCAAGAATAAAAACAAAAAAACAAAAAATATTAAAATTCATAACTATAATTTCTTTTTGTTCTATTTTTTATTTTATTTTAATTTTAATTTTTTCTTTTATCTTAATAGTGATTCAAAACAATAGTACAGGATTTTTTTGAACCTTTCCCTATAAACAATTCACCCAATAAAGTACATAATAATGAATATGGAAGATCAACAAACATGAAGTAGAAAATAAATGTATAAATAATGGGTAAAATTATATAGAAGAACAATTTAAGAAGATGAAGAAGATAAACAGACAGAAACAAAAAAAAAAAATGTGCACAGAAGCTTATTACAATGGAAAATGTACAGTAACACATCCTATTTATACACTAACTAATAAGGTTTTTTAACTTAATTTTTGTATTAAAACTTATTTTTTAAAGCTTCTAACAAAATAATCTTTGGTTCATTTGTAGATCCAAAAAATTAATTAATCCTAATAGATATAATAATAAATATTATTAATAAATTTAATAATTATCCATATAAAAAATAATGAGATATTACATTGTTTACTACCAAAGAATGTTGAATTATCTTCTCACCTATCAAATTTAAAATTCGAATTTAAAAAATTACTAAAATATTATAACAAATGAGTTTCCTATCAAAAGCAGAAAACTTGAAGCCTTTACCTTTAGCCTCCTTCTTTTTCCTTAGAGCTTGAAGGTGCAACCTTTTATGGCCACTTAATGCATTTCCTGAGTTGAACTCCCTCCAACAGAATTCACACTTGTGGATTTCATGAACTGGTTTCTAATTTGTCCCTTCATCACCCTTTGGTTTATCACCAACTTCACAAGACTCAGAAGCTGAACTTTTCATCTTCTCTCTCTTCCATTGAATTCTCAACAACATCTGACCCTTCCTCCTTATCTTCATCCTTTTGAATAAATAAATAATAAATAAATAACTGATCGAGCTACTGCTGAGAAAAGAACAATGGTAAAGAATGTAGAAAATACCTTATATAACCTATCATCGAACTTGTTTTGTTGATCACAATCCATCTGAGTAAAAAAAAAAAGCAACCAAAAGAGAGAGTTACAAGATAGGCTTTAAAAGTGGACATGGATAAGAACGAGTACAGAAAGAGAGAGAGAGGATATGAGAAAAAGAAGAAACTAACCATAAGAAGAGGGAGTTGAGAGGCAAGTAATTAAGAAGAAGAGAGGATATGATATTGCGAAATTTCTCAGATATCATGTATGTCTCTAGCTTAAGCACTTGGATGAAGAAGATCGTCAGTGCTAGCTGCTGCCAGTACTTATATTTAAAAGTGCCAAACTAAATAAATAAATAATAGACCAGCAATTAAGTCTGTATTCAATTTTCATAAATAGCTTATCATTTTTTATTACTGCCAATATTTTTCTGGGATGTGAATTCCTTGTGACAAATATAACAAATGAGTTTCTTATCAAAAGCATAAAACTTGATGCCTTTACCTTTATCCTTCTTCTTTTTCCTTAGAGCTTGAAGGTGCAACCTTTTATGGCCACCTAATGCATTTCCTGAGTTGAACTCCCTCCCAAAGAATTCACACTTGTGGATTTCTTGAACTGGCTTTTGATTTGTCCCTTCATCACCCTTTGGTTCATCTCCAACTTCACAAGACTCAGAAGTTGAACTTTTCATCTTCTCTCTCTTCCATTGAATTCTTAACAACATCTGACCTTTCCTCCTTATCTTCATCCTTTTGAATAAATAAATAATAAATAAATAATTGATCGAGCTACTGCTGAGAAAAGAACAATGGTAAAGAATGTATAAAATACTTTATATAACCCATCATCGAACTTGTTTTGTTGATCATAATAATCTGAGTAAAAAAAAGCAACCAAAAGAGAGAGATACAAGCTAGGCTTTAAAAGTGGACATGGATAAGAACTAGTGCAAAAAAAGAGAGAGAGAGAGGGGGTATGAGAAAAAGAAGAAACTAATCGTAATAAGAAGGAGTTGAGAGGCAAGTAATTAAGAAGAAGAGAGGATATGATATTGCGAAATTTCTCAGATATCATGTATGTCTCTAGCTCCAGCACTTGGATGAAGAAGATTGTTAGTGCTAGCTGTAACACCCTGTGTTAACCCAGTTTTTTATCATGTCATTGTATTAAGCCACGCCTAATTTAAAAATACGGAATATCTTTTTCTATTCAATTATGACGTCATTATACTTAGCCAAGTTGATTACTTAATCATTTTCATAAAAACATCGCCTGTATGTAATTGCAATTCAACAATAACTAGAATACCTCATATATAAATAACTGTGAGTATCTAAAATCACGGAACTACAACACGTAGTCCGGACATAATCCTGATACATTCTTAATACACCAAGCTAAACTAAGATATAGTCAATCAACGTGGCGTGGACAATCCCCATGCTCACCAAATAAGGCAACAAAGCCCAACAGCAGTCTCAACTCAATATCATGATAAAGAACAAGAAACATAAGTAGCATCCAATATCCAGTCATGTCAGCATACAACAAGTATATAGTCAACTAAGCTCCGGCCTCTTGCCGCTAGAGGAATCAACCCCAGAGTTACCTGAACCTGAAATATGTGCCCCAAACGTGGGGTGAGATCTTTAACAAGAAATCTCAGTAAGAAAAGGGGTCCTCAAAGATTTTTCACCCCAAGCTCACTTACATGTGCAATATAAGTTCTAAAAGCAGTAATTCAATATCAGATCCAAAATCAGTGCAATGCAACAGATATTCATGTCATGTGTGTTATAACTATTCTACTGATCAGAGAAATGCAGGAATACTTCTATTACCCACATAATACCAGCCCATGTTGTACCCGCCCACAGGACCCCCCATGGCTTCTTGTTTAGACAGAACACCACATACATATCATATAGCATTTGCACTTAACAGTTCAATAGCATTTCAACAAAACAATACATGAAAACACATCATGCATATAACCATCCCCCCATGGGACATGGTGGAACAGACAATGGCTAAACCGAGTACACGAAAGCTTACCTTGTAAGCTAGCTATCCAAACCAAGAGTCCACACACCGCTCAAGGCCCACAAACAGCACAATCACAATCTATTTGTACACTAATTCATCATCAATAATCATAGCACATAAGCTTATACATAAAGACAACGCTTCTCCTTTACGTTTTACGTCTTAATGCTTCTCACAAAGCTACAAGCCCTTAATCACTTAGATTCAGACTTAGTTAAGTTATTACAGAAGTTCAACTTCATTAACTTAGGGTCCACAAACCCATAACTCAGATCTGTATGAACAGTACCTTCACTGTTCACGAAAATCCAGATATTTGTCGGGGGTATATCCGGATATCATAAACGGATATGCATATCCGAATATCATATCCGGATATCCATATTCGGATATCAGAAGACCCCATATTCGGATATCATATCCGGATATTTCACGATAGAATGCAGTTCTGCATTTCGCGAGGTATCCTTCCTAAAGGTGGCTCATTTCATGATTCCAGAAGCTTAAATGCATTTAATGGTGTGTTTAACATTACCCAACGTTAAGTTATCAACTTTAATCCATACATGCATCAAGGTTCCATTTTTAATCAAGAAAACTCAAGTTCGAGGATGGTAAGGCTTACCCAATCTTAAAACATAAACAAATGGTGCTCTTGGAGCTCACAAGTCAGCTCGAAGGTACTGACTTCAAGGGTGCACACAAATAGCACTCAAGCAAGGATCTTTCTTCACAAAGTTTGCTTCTTGGAGCTCCAACAACCAAGGGAAGCACTCCCACACCAACCAACTCAGAAACAACCCTCACCACTCAGAAACAGCCCCTTCCCAACACTCACACAACCCTCACCACTCAGAAAAAGGCACCCTTTACACTCTCCAGAGCTCACACCCAAGTGTTTACTTAATCAAGAGGAGAAACAATGATCAAATGTGGTGTCTTTGGTGAGAAAATGAAGAAGAAAGGGAGTAGCAAGGTGGCTGGTCATAAGCCTCAGCAAAAACTCACGTAGAGGTGCACAAGTCTGACCTAGGATCATGTGCCATGGCCTTATATAGGCTGCTTAAGTTTTAATCGCACAGTATTAGCATTAATAACTACGCTTAGTATTTTAAACCCAAACTTTTGAATCTGAACCTACTCATTTTTCTAAGATTTTTCATATTTTTATTTTAATTTTTGCAACACCTTTCCGGTACGCGCTTTTCCATAACTAGTATCAGTTCTGGCATCAGTTCTTATTATTTTGACCCGAAACTTGTTTTCCTAGTCCTATATAATATTCTAGGAATATACATGCGCTTATTATAATTTTATGGGATACTTTTTTGGTACGCATTTATACCGAGTAGCAGAATCGGTATCTGCACTTTTCGTCCAAAAAGCGACTTTCAGCATTATTAACCACTCTCTATATTTATTTAAGCCTCATAATAATTATTAGGGTCAATTATGAAATTATTTCCTAATTTTACATAATTAATTAATTAACTTACTTAATTAACGGTGCGAGTTTTTACATTAGCTGCTGCAGTACTTATATTTCAAAGTGCCAAAATAAATAAATAAATAATAGACCAGCAATTAAGTCTGTATTCAATTTTCATAAATAACTTATCATTTTTTATTACTGCTAATATTTTTCTGGGATGTAAATTCCTTGTGACAAATATAACAAACGAGTTTCCTATCAGAAGCAGAAAACTTGATGCCTTTACCTTTAGCCTCCTTCTTTTTCCTTAGAGCTTGAAGATGCAACCTTTTATGGCCACCTAATGCATTTCCTGTGTTGAACTCCCTCCAACCGAAATCACACTTGTGGATTTCTTTAACTGGTTTCTGATTTGTCCCTTCATCACCCTTTGGTTCATCACCAACTTCACAAGACTCAAAAGCTGAACTTTTCATCTTCTCTCTCTCTTCCATTGAATTCTCAACAACATTTGACCCTTTCTCCTTATCTTAATCCTTTTGAAAAAATAAATAATAAATAAAAAAATAATTGATCGAGCTACTGCTGAGAAAAGAACAATGGTAAAGAATGTATAAAATACCTTATATAACCCATCTTCAAAGATTTTTTGTTGATCACAATCCATTTGAGTAAAAAAAAAAAAGCAACCAAAAGTGAGAGTTACAAGCTAGGCTTTAAAAGTGGACATGGATAAGAACGAGTACAGAAAGAGAGAGAGAGGGGGTATGAGAAAAAGAAGAAACTACCCGTAAGAAAAGGGAGATGAGCGGCAAATAATTAAGAATTAGAGAGGATACGATATTGCAAAATTTCTCAGATATCATGTATGTCTCTAGCTCCAGCACTTTGATGAAGAAGATTGTTAGTGCTAGCTGCTGCCAGTACTTATATTTAAAAGTGCCAAAATAAATAAATAAATAATAGACCAGAAATTAAGTCTGCATTCAATTTTTATAATTAACTTATCATTTTTTATTACTGCCAATATTTTTCTGGGATGTGAATTCCTTGTGACAAATATAACAAATGAGTTTCCTATCAGAAGCAGAAAACTTGATGCCTTTACCTTTAGCCTACTTCTTTTTCCTTAGAGCTTGAAGGTGCAACCTTTTATGGCCACCTATTGCATTTCCTGAGTAGAACTCCCTCCAACAGAATTCACACATGTGGATTTCTTGAACTGGTTTCTGATTTGTCCCTTCATCATCCTTTGGTTCATCATCAACTTCACAAGACTCAAAAGCTGAACATTTCATCTTCTCTCTCTTCCAATGAATTCTCAACAACATCTGACCCTTCATCCTTATCTTCATCCTTTTGAATAAATAATAAATAAATAAATAAATAATTGATCGAGCTACTGCTGAGAAAAGAAAAATGGTAAAGAATATATAAAATACCTTATATAACCCATCTTCAAAGTTGTTTTGTTGATCACAATCCATTTGAGTAAAAAAAAAAAGCAACCAAAAGAGAGAGTTACAAGCTAGGCTTTAAAAGTGGACATGGATAAGAACGAGAACAGAAAGAGAGAGAGATAGGGTATGAGAAAAAGAAGAAACTAACCATAAGAAGAGGGAGTTGAGAGGCAAGTAATTAAGAAGAAGAAAGGTTATGATATTGCGAAATTTCTCAGATATCATGTAAGTCTCTAGCTCCAGCACTTGGATGAAGAAAATTGTTAGTGCTAGCTACTGCCAGTACTTATATGTCAAAGTTCCAAAAAAATAAAATAAATAATAGACCAGCAATTAAGTCTGTATTCAATTTTCATAAATAACTTATCATTTTTTATAACTGCTAATATTTTTCTGGGATGTAAATTCCTTGTGACAAATATAACAAATGATTTTCGTATCAGAAACAGAAAACTTGATGCCTTTACCTTTAGCCTCCTTCTTTTTCCTTAGAGCTTGAAGGTGAAACCTTTTATGGCCACCTAATGCATTTCCTGAGTTGAACTCCCTCCAACCGAAATCACACTTGTGGATTTTTTTTAACTGGTTTCTGATTTGTCCCTTCATCACCCTTTGGTTCATCACCAACTTCACAAGACTCAAAAGCTGAACTTTTCATCTTCTCTCTCTTCCATTGAATTCTCAACAACATTTGACACTTCCTCCTTATCTTAATCCTTTTGAATAAATAAATAATAAATAAATAAATAATTGATCGAGCTACTGCTGAGAAAAGAACAATGGTAAAGAATATATAAAATACCTTATATAACCCATCTTCAAAGATTTTTTGTTGATCACAATCCATCTAAGTAAAAAAAAAAAAAGCAACCAAAAGAGAGAGTTACAAGCTAGGCTTTAAAAGTGGACATGGATAAGAACGAGTACAGAAAGAGAGAGAGAGAGAAAAGGTATGAGAAAAAGAAGAAACTAACCGTAAGAAGAGGGAGATGAGCGGCAAGTAATTAAGAATTAGAGAGGATACGATATTGCGAAATTTCTCAGATATCATGTATGTCTCTAGCTCCAGCACTTTGATGAAGAAGATTGTTAGTGCTAGCTGCTGCCAGTACGTATATTTAAAAGTGCCAAAATAAATAAATAAATAATAGACCAGAAATTAAGTCTGTATTCAATTTTTATAATTAACTTATCATTTTTTATTACTGCGAATATTTTTCTGGGATGTGAATTCCTTGTGACAAATATAACAAATGAGTTTCCTATCAAAAGCAGAAAACTTGATGCCTTTACCTTTAGCCTCATTCTTTCTCCTTAGAGCTTGAAGGTGCAACCTTTTATGGCCACCTAATGCATTTCCTGAGTTGAACTCCCTCCCACAGAATTCACACTCTTGGATTTTTTGAACTGGTTTCTTATTTGTCCCTTCATCACCAACTTCACAAGACTCAGAAGCTGAACTTTTCATATTCTCTCTCTCTTCCATTGAATTCTCAACAACATCTGACCTTTACTCCTTATCTTCATCCTTTTGAATAAATAAATAATTGATCGAGCTACTGCTGAGAAAAGAACAGTGGTAAAGAATGTATAAAATACCTTATATAACCCATCATCGAAGTTGTTTTGTTGATCACAATCCATCTTAGTAAAAAAAAAAGCATCCAAAAGAGAGAGTTACAAGCTAGACTTTAAAAGTCGACATGGATAAGAACGAGTACAGAAAGAGAGAGAGAGGGTATAAGAAAAAGAAGAAACAAACCGTAAGAAGAAGGAGTTGAGAGGCAAGTAATTAAGAAGAAGAAAGGATATCATATTGTGAAATTTCTCAGATATCATGTATGTCTCTAGCTCCAGCACTTGGATGAAGAAGATTGTTAGTGCTAGCTGCTGCCTGTACTTATATTTCAAAGTGCCAAAATAAATAAATAAATAATAGACCTGTAATTAAGTCTGTATTCAATTTTCATAAATAACTTATCATTTTTTATTACTGCCAATGTTTTTCTGGGAAGTGAATTCCTTTTGGCAAATATAACAAATGAGTTTCCTATCAGAAGCAGAAAACTTGATGTCTTTACCTTTAGCCTCCTTCTTTTTCCTTAGAGCTTGAAGGTGCAACCTTTTATGGCCACCTAATGCATTTCTTGAGTTGAACTCACTCCAACAGAATTCACACTTGTGGATTTCTTGAACTTGTTTCTAATTTGTCCCTTCATCACCCTTTGGTTCATCACCAACTTCACAAGACTCAAAAGCTGAACTTTTCATCTTCTCTCTCTCTTCCATTAAATTCTCAACAACATCTGACCCTTCCTCCTTATCTTCATCCTTTTGAATAAATAATAAATAAATAAATAATTGATCGAGCTACTGCTGAGAAAAGAACAATGGTAAAGAATGTACAAAATACCTTATATAACCCATCATCGAAGTTGTTTTGTTGATCACAATCCATCTGAGTAAAAAAAAAAGCAACCAAAAGAGAGAGTTACAAGCTAAGCTTTAAAAGTGGACATGGATAAGAACGAGAACAGAAAGAGAAAGAGATAGGGTATGAGAAAAAGAAGAAACTAACCATAAGAAGAGGGAGTTGAGAGGCAAGTAATTAAGAAGAAGAAAGGATATGATATTACGAAATTTCTGAGATATCATGTAAGTCTCTAGCTCCAGCACTTGGATGAAGAAGATTGTTAGTGCTAGCTGCTGCCAGTACTTATATTTCAAAGTGCCAAAATAAATAAATAAATAATAGACCAGTAATTATGTATGTATTCAATTTTCATAAATAACTTGTCATTTTTTATTACTGCCAATGTTTTTCTGGGATGTGAATTCCTTGTGGCAAATATAACAAATGAGTTTCCTATCAGAAGCAGAAAACTTGATGCCTTTACCTTTAGCCTCCATCTTTTTCCTTTGAGGAGATTGAATTCTTCGTTCATCATTAAGGTTTGTTTTAATCTCCTCGCTCAACCGGATGCTTTGTGTGCCAAGGTCCTAAGATCAAAATATAAGGTGGAATCTGTTATGATCCAAAACATAAACGCTCCAATCGGAAGCTCACAATTGTGGAAAGGGATTAAAAGGCACTGGAATGTCATTCTTGATCATAGTCGTGTTCTATTAGGCACTGGGAGTGGTCCACTTTTATCTCATGCAGTCTCTCATATCTTGGACGAGGACAAGCTTCTTCAGGTGTCAGAATATGTGGATGCTTCTGGTTGTTGGAAATGGGATACCATTCAGCAAATGCTTCCTGATTACATTATTGATCGTATCATGAACACAGTTCCTCCTTTTGATCATGATGGTAGGGACCGCATCATATGGAATGTGACGACAGATGGAGTTTTCTCCCTGAAGTCAACTTACACTATCTTGGATAACGGTGACAATCTGATTCAGACATGGGATTGGAAGCATATTTGGAAATGGGTGGGACCAGAAAGAGTGTGTATGTTTCTTTGGTTAATGGTGGGTGAAAAGCTTCTGACTAATAAACGAAGGCTGCAGAGACGCATGACTCCTTCGAATATGTGCCCAAGATGTAACTATCACAGCGAAACAGTCCTCCACGCCATTCGTGATTGTCCGAAATCAAAAGAGACTTGGTGCTTGGTTGTGAAAAGCACAAACTGGCAATATTTTTTTGCACTAAATCTTCAAGACTGGGTGATGTTCAATCTGGACAATAGTTGTGGTTGGGGATTGGAGGAGAATTGGCCTCTCCTGTTTGGAATTCTTTCATGGATTATCTGGAAATGTAGGAATGCTTGGGTCTTTGAAGAGAAGTATCAGAATGCTTATGCTATTAGTCGATCAGCCTTAGCCTTTAAGAACATCGTGGAACTAGCTGCAGCTTTGTTGAATGGATTACATCCACATATGAGAAGTCCCGCAGATAGGCTGATAATGTGGTCTCACCCTCAAGAGGAATGGGTCAAGCTTAATGTTGATGGGTCTAGCTTGGATAATGGCCTCAAGACAGATTGCGGTGGAGTTCTGCGTGATGCTTCAGGGCATGGATCGTGGGGTTTTGCAGGAACTTAGGTTCAGGAATGGCTCTAGAAGCTGAGTTGTGGGCTTGCTTGGAAGGTCTTTAGTTGGCTTGGAATAAAGGTTTTAGAAAAGTTTGGTTGGAAGGGGATTCACTCTCAGCACAACATCTGATAACTAATGGGTGTCTTCAAAATCACCCATCTGCAACATTGGTTCATCGTATCATTTGTATGCTGCATCTTAGTTGGCAGGTCCATATTTCACACATTCATCGTGAAGGAAATGCGGTGGCGGACTGGCTAGCTTCTCACGCGTATGGATTCGCCTGGACAATTCAAATTTTTGAAGAGCCTCCTCACGGTTGCTTAGAAAGATTGTACAGCGACACCATTGGTGTTTGCTGGTCAAGGCGGAATGCCTAGTTGTTTTTCTTGTTATCTGTTCTTTTGTTTTTAATTTCTTGTTATTGTCCAAAAAAAAAATTGATTCAAGCCTGAACACAAAAAAATAAATATTAAAGGAGATAATTACGCATAAGCAAACTTTCCGTTTACGATAGATGTCTCGGGTGGGATGTCTGTCATTTATGATAAAGGTATTGCGTAGGTGTCATTTTTTAATAGGATAGCCATCAAAGAATAAAGGTATTCTTCAAGTTGACGAGGCAAGTGATTCACCAAGGAAGAAAGAACGGCACCAGATCAACAAACTTCGAGCGCAACACGCGTATATAAATCAAGAAAGGTTCACCATGAGAATGCAAAGAGTGAAGCTCCCAAAGTGAGGCCACTCAAAATCAAAAGTGAGATAACAAAGCTCTCTCTCTCTCTCTCTTAAATACACCGTTTCCTTGGCCCCTCTCTGTAGTCCTCTGTCTTGGAAAAATTTAATCACAGTTTTTTTGTGAAAAACAAAACAAACCCAGGTTCTAATTTTATAAAGTCAGGCGATTCAGGACGAAATCCAGGTTTTTAAGTTTTTATTTTAACTTGGTGAAAGTCTCGTTTTTAATTAAAAAAATAAGAAGAAGAAGAAGAAACAATTACAGTCATTACTTGCAGTTTTGTTTCTACCTGTTCTCTGATTTTGGAATTGAGACAGGTTCTAATTTTAAACCTGTAACTTTGTCAGTCTTTTTTTTTTTAATTACCTTCTCTTGTTTTTACTTAATTTCTTCTTGTGTTGTAAAGCATGGCAACAGCTATAGATATCTACAATAGCAACATGACACCGGAATTCTTAGATCCTTATAGTGAAGAGCTGATGAAAGCACTAAAGCCTTTTATGAAAAGTGATTCATCTACCTCTTCTTCCACCTCGAAATCACAACCTTCCAGCATCTCTTGTTCTCCATTTTCATCCAATTCTCTCCCCAATTTGTATCCCAACCTCTCCAGCACTTCCCACTTGTTTTCCCAAAGCCAAACCAGTTCCCTTGGGCTCAACCAACTCACCCCATCACAAATTCTTCAGATTCAAGCCCAAATCTACATTCTTCAACAACATCAACAACAGCAGCACGTGGCTGACGTAGCCACAGCTTCTCTCCAACGCAAAAAGTCAACCCAGTTGCAGCACCAAAACGAACACGCCCTTAGCTTCCTCACACCAAAACCCGTTCCTATGAAGCACGTTGGCACTACACTGAAACCAACAAAACTGTACCGTGGGGTGAGACAGAGGCATTGGGGAAAATGGGTCGCTGAGATCAGACTCCCCAAGAACCGCACTCGTCTCTGGCTTGGCACATTTGATACCGCAGAGGAAGCAGCGTTGGCTTATGATAACGCAGCATATAAGCTTAGGGGTGAGTTTGCACGACTAAATTTCCCTCATCTTCGCCACCATGGAGCCCACGTTTTCGGTGAGTTTGGAGATTACAAGCCTCTCCCTTCCTCGGTCGATACCAAGCTCCAAGCTATTTGTGAAAGCTTAGCCATTTCACATAAACATGGAAACAACGTAGAAAAGCCCTGCACCTCTGTTGAAGATAGAAAGCCTATTATGATGATACATGACAGAGAATTGGTTTTTCCTGAGTTCGAGGATGTTAAGTTCGAGAACCCAAAGTTGTGGCCCATGTCTGATGAATCTTTTTCACCCTGTTGTTCTTCGCCTGAATCCGGTGTTACTTTCTTGGATTTCTCGGATTCTAATCGGTGGGATGAGACAGAGAATTTTGGGTTGGAGAAGTACCCTTCTTTGGAGATTGATTGGGCAGCTATATGAGTCATGTTGAACTATTTAGCTTTATTATGTTTTCGGTTTGGGTATATGTATTTGTACCTTGTCATTTAGGTTATGTTTTGCTGTCTTCGGCAGCATCTGCAATGAAATTTTTGACATTTGCAGATGTTATGATGAAACAGCTTGCATATTTTAGGGTACTAAATTAGAGTCATGGTGGTTATGGTCTAATGGTTTCTTGGTCTGCTGGTGTTTTTTATTCCTTGCATGACTATAGGAGCTTCTACTTGTGTCTTGGCTACTTGTTCAAAAGTAATTAAAGTGCCTTTCCAATATATGGTTTTTGGGTTTTATTAGTGTTACTTATATCTTACATGATTTAAGTGTTGTTTCCAATACACACAAAAATGGAGAGAGAAGGTGGAATGATGAAAGAGAAAGAAAAACATGTGTACCCCACCTCTTTAATGTGTGTGTAAGAAAGTGATGTTATATCATGTTACACGATAAACATAAAACTCATGGTTTTTTCTGCTTTTCTTCTTTTGAAGTTTTTGTAAAGCAGTGAGCACGAAATGGTGTTGAACATTTTCTTTTATTATGTAATTATAGTATGAAAATTTGCTATCGATAGCCCACTTTTACTGACTTATAAATGGAGTTTGATTAAATCAAGGACTATTGTGATTTGAGTGGTGTCAATTGTTCTGTCAAGCTTTGTTTCTCATCCATCCATCAAGAGGTCTATTCTTGTATTTTTCATTTCTATATTTTTGAGTTCGAACTCGAATTTGAAAGGAGAAACGCTTGTTGCCAAATGAGTGTAATCAGGAGAAGGCCAAACCAATGGCTTCATGGCAGGTTTTTGCATACAAATCTCCTAAAATCACAAATTCATGCAGTCAAATGGGGAAAAAAAGGGTCTGACTAAGTAAATATTCGAAGATTCATTTCATTCACGCAGCAAAAGGAAAAAAAATAATCTTACCAATGAAAATTGTTGATGTCAACGGTTTTATTCCCAAGTAAAACCATTCGATTCAACAGTTGGGATTCCCAGCATACACGTTGCATGCGACAAAAAATAAAAAATAAAATCCAGAATGGTATAACGACTCAATAGATATCTAGAACTTAATATAGATAGAGCAGGATAATCAATCTTCAATAAGTTCATCTATTGTTGAAGGAACGTTAATAGATTAAGCAAAAGATTTTTTAGCAGCATTCCTCTAAACAGTGATGAATCCAAGCAACTGCGTTAGGAGGCCAAAATTTTATATTATTTAAACAATTGTTTTATAAGATTTAAGAAAATATTAATTTATTTATTCATTTTTAAAAAAATCCTAACGTTTTTTTCTGGTAATGTAAATGTTTAGCTCAATATATATATATATATATATATATATATATATATATATATATATATTTAAAGATGAGAGAAATGATTCGTTTACAAATTTTTTATAAATTTTTAAAAATTACTCTATGTACTCCCGGAAGTATATAGTGTAACCTAATGTACTTCCGGGCATAGTTATTAAAACTGAACCGACCCGGCCGGGTCGACCCAGGAACCGGTAAACCGGTCATATAACCGGTCCGGTTGAAGCAACGGACCGGTCATGCATTAGAACCGGTGCGACCCGATCTGACCCGGCCGGTTTTCATAAAAAACCGGTGACCCGGCCCGGTCCAAAAAAAAAATTCTAAATTTTGTTTTTTTTCAAAAAAAATCATAATAGCCATATTTTAATATTTTTTTGCTAATTGACTTACATAAGTTATGTACCTACAACACTAATATTATCTCAATTATGTACTATGTATAAAATTTTGAATTAATTTATAGTTAGAGATGTCATTTTTTGAACCTAAAGCCGCGTATCACGATCATTATATTTTTGTTTGATTTTTTATTTGATAATAATACGTGATTTATTATTTTTTGTATTAAAATATTTGAATTTTTTTTATCATTTTTTTAGATATTTGAGTATGTTTATAATTTTTTAATATAAATTATAAAATTACATATAATTACCGGGTCATGGGATTGAACCAGTGACCCACTGGTTGAACCAGTGACCCGGTACCTCGACCGGGTCAATGACCGGGCCGGTTTTAATAATATTGCTTCCGGGAATACATAATGTAATTTGTAAATAAAAAATTTATAAATATAATCCCCTAAAAGATATACGTAAACAATATGAAATTTTTATAGCAACTAACATTACATCAATAAAAATTAAGATTTTTTTTTTGTCGAAATAAAATTAAGATTATATACTTAAAAGATTGCAAGATCGTATCAAATAAATTATCCTTTTGTTATGGACTTTACAATAAAATTAATCTTGCACTTGTTAAGTATTAGAGATTTCCCCTTGTGAACCTTGTGCTTTAGATAATCTATTTTGAATATACATAAAACTATAATATACTATATATAACTTCATTGGATCAAATTGAAGTCAAACATTTTCAATTTTTAAATGTTTATTGAAATGATGATATTTCTCAAATATTAAAGGGCGAAATATAACTCATAAATTTGATATTTTTGAATAAAAACAAACTTGAAATAAAAGGAAGAAAAACTATATTAATTTTTTTGGTATTTTCTCGTTCACATCAAAAAGTTATTTACCATATATTTGTTTGGGAATACGTTATTCTACCTAATTTTTTTTTGCCTACATTTAGCTATCATTCTCCAACACACTATATTGTATCATAATCTCAGCTACCTTTATTATTTCTACTCTCTCCTTTTGAGATTTTGATCGAATAGTGTTAGAGAATGGTAAACAAAAAATAGACAGAAAAAGAAATGGGTAAAATAACCTGTCCAATTTGAATCAAAAGTTTAAGGAATAAAATAAAAATATAACAAAACTAGGGGCATGTTATATTTACAAATTTTTTTGTTTACAAACTCTTACAAACTACACTATCTTCTTCCGGGAGAACACTTGTTACACTACGTTCTCCCGGGAGAACATAGTATAATTTGTAAAAAATTTCAAAAAAAATTTGTAAACGGATCCTTCCCCGTAAAACTAATTCTAAATTAAACAAAAATTTGTATACACGACTTATGTAAGTAAGGAGACACTATCCCCCTCCCAACTAGATCCGGCCCTTCCTACACATTGAAGCATTCCCTAAAAGCATGCCAGAGAGTAAAACACTTGATTTGGGATTTAACAATGCAACATATCCAAAATCTAGCTCCAATTCTCATATATAATAATAAGAAACGGTATTAAGCCAAACAAATTGAGAAGTAGGAGTGTGCACGATTCAGTTCGAATCGATTTTTATATCAAACCGAATTATAAAAGTGGTTTAATTCGAGCGAATTGAACTGATTTTAAATGGTGTTTCAGTTTTTTAATTAGTTTGTGGAGGAGATGGTTAAATTTTTAAACTCATTTAGAAAAATATGATACGTTTCGATTTCGTTTGCGGTTTAGTTCGATTGATTTTATTTTGTAACAATATTAAAAAATATATATAATTCTAATTTTAGTCCGAATTGAACCAAATTAATAAAACAGTTTGATTCTTGAACCCAACAGTTGAAAAAAATATAATTCTGTTGGTATATAATTTAAATCAATTTATTATTTGATTTTTTTTACTCCTCGATTAAGAAGAGTTGTGAAGCTTTTGAAACAATTTAAAAAAAAAAAATTAGCCAATCAAATATGCGGTCTACAATGTATGAGAGGCCGCATGCTTTTGTTATGAAATGTATCCTTCCACACGTTATTTTTATTAAATGATTTTTTGCACGTTCTCTTCCTAAACAACAGGAAGACTTAAGGGGCGGAATGGTTGGAGTTTGGACTTTCCAGATCGAGCTCGGAGAAGGGCAAATGTCTGAAAGAAAAAGAGAAGATGGAGTCTTCGATTGAGCTTCGGACCTATCAGAATTGACAATCTGAGTATGTGACACACATGTGTACTGATTTATTTTTGTGTAAGACGAGTATTTCAATTGAAGTGAATGTTTGTGCAAGAATTGCATTAACTTAAATTTTATATAATATTTAAAAGAACTACATGAATTAATGGGAGAGTATCCCAATTAGTAGGTATATTCTCATATATTTTTTTACCCGATCATGTAATATGAATTATTATTTTTTTGTCTGTTTTACATGTTTTGTCATTAAAATTTGGAAGCAGCTTAATGACAAGTGGGGAAACCTAATGCATAAAAACAAATATGGAAGCAGCTCTTTCTTATCGCGTGGGGTTGAGATAAGGAATTTGGAAGGCCGTCCCTTCTCCATCTAAAAGGTGCAAACATTAAGAAATAAAAGAATAGGAAGAAGAATAAAAAGATCAATCAAAATCAAATCAATATTCTTATTCTTCATTCCTAGCACGCGAAGACAAAGTTAACTCTGCCAAACAGGATGCAGGGTGAAAAGAAAGGCCCACAAAATAAAAATAAATATCCCTGATTGGGGGCCATATATGACCACGCACCATCACCATAAGGAATCCTTCCAGAGCCTAATCAGTCACCGCTCAACATTTCTCTATCTCTCGCCTCGCCCTGTCCTCAAAATTATACCTTTTTTAAATTCCTCACTTTACCTCAAATTCCGTCTTTTTGAATAACGTTAATGTGAACGGGACCAGAATCTTGCGATGCATCTCCAAGTTGGTAAAAGAATTCCGTGAAGAGGGGATAAAGGCATAAAGCTCATCTTCCTAGCCGGTTATTCACTCTTTACAGTCTTTAATGATGTGGCTTTGCATGCGTCCTTGCATTTATCATATATATATATATATATATATATATATATATATATACGAGGTAGATCTTTTGATATTAGTGTCAAATTTGAAATTTGACATCTCATTTAAGAGCCGTTAGATCAGAAAAGATCAATGGTGTCACATGCTTACAAATTTACAAATTAGAGTCATTGATCTTTTTTGATCTAACGGATTTCAGATAAGGTATCAAATTTCTAATTTGACACCGGTGTCAAATGATACTACCTCTATATATATATATATGTGTGTGTCAAATTAAGAATCTCCTTTTTCCTTAGCAGATTAGCAATTAACGTTTTTGGCTTCAAAAGTCTTTCCTATTAACAGTGAGAGGTTTAATTTAGGTTCCCTCTCTCTCCTCCTACATGTTACCAAAAAGAAACGATGCATCGGCATATATAAAATAAATAAAAGAGGTGATTTATCATTTATGCATACTTTTTTTGACGAAAGGGATGCGGTGTGTGCTGTGGGCTCCCTGTGATGTGGACAACAAGTGTCATGACAATAATTAATGTTAAATATCATCAACCAACCACTTCATTTGCCTGCATTAAAATATTATTTGACAGTTCTGGAAGTTGAGATTCAGCTAACAGTTGCGGATGATCTGAAGTTTGAATTACTTTCGTTTTATTCAGTGATTTTATGAACTATTCAAATAAGAAATCTGACTTACGTATTCACGTATATTATGCACAATTCTGGAGTATCTCATACATTTTTGGTAATTAGGAGAGTGGTGT